ATGTAAATGATACTTTTTGAACTGACCTACATACTACAGGAATGCTGCTGTCTGGTACAAGCTTTTAAATTATTGTATATGGGTGGAAATTTTTTATGCAAAGCAGCATAACGTTTAAATTCTTTGTAGTGTGGAAACAATTCTCATCGTGCTGACAGGTGTTGCCTCAGAGTACTTCTTGCATTACATGCATGTAGTTCATTTTTCCCCTTCCGTCATCAGTTTTAGGTATTTTGGAGATTCTCCAGTTATTATTCAGACTTTTTTTCAATGAACTATCAGAAACTAATCTGCTACCTTTGGTCTCTGTATGTTTCTTCACTTCTGCCTATCCTCAGACTGCAGCAGAATGTCATTTTCAGAACAGATGGGCCCACAACCCTGTTCTCATCAAGCATGAAGAGGGAAGAGCTGACAGGGAGCTGTGGCTGCTGTTGAGCCTACCTCCCACTGATGACAGATCCTTATGGCATCATGTCTGAAGAAGCCGAGCTGGATAAGGGTGGTCATTGACTTGGCCAAGATGACAGAACTTTCCCAAACGAGATAAAAGAAGAGTTGTTCTGCTATAAGCAAAAAGACCCCACGGTGTGTCTGGAAACACGTGCTACGAAGTACGCCTGTAAGAGCACCTGTCCTGTCTTGTCCTGCTGGTAAAATGGAGAGTTAACGTTTGTGTGACAAACTGTCTTTACCCAGCAATCAGGAAGCCTCTGGATGAGGGGTCCAACACCCACATTTATAAACAGGCAACCAGATCTACAATTGTTCACCTAGACGGGCAGTGAGGATTTGTTGTCCAAAATACACCACATGGAACAAGCAGTCCCCAAAGCGGTTGTTCCCCAGAATAGAGCTGGTTGAAAAGCGCAGCAGCGGACTCGAGACTTGAGCTTCTGCTTCTAACATGCAGCCTGGGGCAAGGTCTTTGGGTCACAGATGTCAGACCAAGATGTCTATTATTTTCAGCAAGAATTATTCTGGTGCTTGGCCCTGCATTAGGAGGAGTGTTGCCAGCAGTTTAAGGGGCATGATCCTTCCCCTCTGCTCGGCGCTACGAGGCTACACCTGGAGTGCTGGGTCCGGTGCTGGGCTCCACGGTGCAAGAAAAATAAGAACGTGCTGGAGGGAGTCCAGCAGAGGTCCACAAAGATGACAGAGGGATTGGAGCATCTGTCCTATGAGGAGAGGCTGAGAGATGGGACTGTTCACCCTGGAGAAGTCTTAGGGGGACCTCATCAATGTGTATAAACACCTGAAGTGCAGATGCAAAGATGAAGGGAGGCTCTTTTCAGTGGTGCCCAGTGACAGGACAGGAGGTAATGGCCACAAAAGTGAAACACAGGAGGCTCTGGCTGAACATCAGGAAGAACTTTGACACTGGGTGTGACCTGGCACAGGTTGTCCAGGGAATCTGTGGATGCACCATCACTGGAAGTGTTCAAGGTCAGGTTGGATAGAGCCTTGTGCAGCCTGGTCTAGTGGGAGGTGTCCATGCCTGTGGCAGGGAGATTGGAACTAGATAGCTTTTAAGGTCCCTTCCAACCCAAACCATTCTATGATTTTTCTGTACTTAGCACTGCTGAGGCTGCACCTTGAATACTTGTTTCATTTCTGGGCCCCTCACTACTAGAAGGACACTGAGGTGCTGGAGCATGTCCAGAGATGGGCAACAAAGCTGGGGAAAGGTCTGGAGAACAAATCTTACGATGAGTGGCTGAGGGAACTGGAGTTGTTCAGCCTGAAGAAAAGGAGGCTCTGGGGAAACCTCATCACTCTACATCTACCTGAAAAGAGAGTGTAGCAAAGTAGAGATCAGTCTGTTCTCCCATGTAACAAGTGATAGGACAAGAGAAAATGGCTTAGTTCAGGCCAGTGGTTTAGATTGGGTATTTATTAGGAAAAATTTCTTCACAGAAATGGTTGTCAAGCTCTGGAACAGGCTGCCCAGGGAAGTGGGGGCATCACTATCCCCAGAGGTATTTAAAAGACACACAGATGTGGCACTTAGATATGTGGTTTAGTGGTGGACCTGGCAGTGCTGGGTTAATGGTTGGACTCAATGATCCTAAAGGTCCTTTCCAACCAGAACAGTTCTATAACTCACCAGCTTGAACATGGGCACTGTTGTTGCAGGGAGAGCCTGGTGCTAACAGCTGGGCTGGTCACAGTTACAGAATTCATTTATGGAATTGCAGTAACTTTCTCTTAGCACAGCCGCAGCTAACACCCGTCACAGGTGAAGATCCTTCCCCCTGGTCATACCTTTGAACACAACTATGTGGAAAAGGCAGATAACTGCATCCTTACATGTCTCTGCTTTTCTCAGTCCTTGAAACAGCTTTTTGTGCTCATGGTGTGGAGCTGGTGTAAGGGCAAGAAGCTCTTACCTGTAGGACTCTAGAAAGCGGTGTTACTCTTTTTTTCTAGCCTATTGTAATACCTTGCTGTACATCACATGAAAGAAAAAAAGATCAGTGATGCTTTGACCAATATTTATTGTCACTGTCATAATTATTTCTCAATTGACTATAATAAGCACGAATATAGTGGTAATCGGGTTTGCATATGCATTGCTTCTCAAACTGGAAAAGTTTTAACACTGCTTTGAATATTGTTATAGTATTATTAAAGGTGACTTATTGTTGGTTCTCATTTGTTCTGGAACTTCTGTACTGCTCTGCAATACATACCTTCATAAGGATTTTAAAACTACTTAATACTAGCCTACATGCCAGAAGACATCTAAAGGAGAACAACTTTTTTTTTTTCTCCTGTTTTTATGATGAGGGGTATTTTAGAATGAAACATCATCTTTCAGGGATTAAATTACAAAGTCTGTGCATATTTGCAAGTGTTGGTGAAACGTTATTTCCATATATACTAAACTGTTGTTCAGGATCCATTGAAGCTTCTTTAGTTGCTGTGACCTGGAGGTACAGAGACCGACGCTGGCTGTCGCCAGTTGTGGCTGGTGCCACTAGTCCTGATGTGCCCCTGCAGAGAGCCACAGCTGTGTTCAAAACCAATGGGCGTCCGAAGGCCGTGGGGGTGCTCTGGTTTCTCAAACTCATAGGACCAGCAGTTGCACTCACAGGCACATTTATGGTCGCACAGTATTATTTTTTTTAAATGCACTACACAGCTGAAGCAAAAGCAACATACTATTAGAAAATTACTACCTGGATCACTGTGCTCAAAACAATTTATTAGTTCTGTCATATAAGCAGTTCCAAATAAGGACATAAGTTCCCACAAGATAATTGCAAATATGTTTGTCTTTCTTAACAAACAGGCAAATAAGGTGTATTAGCAGGAAGACCCTCTTCTTTCACCTGGCCTTCCTCCCACCTCTAGGTTAGAGAACTGAGCTGTTCACAAGAGCTGTGTGAAGTGGTATCTCGAGTGGAGCAATCATTTTATCCCTGTCCTCCCCTTGTTCACAAATACCCAGCTACTCCTATGAGGGTGCAAAGTGCTCAGCAACCAACAGATTATAGAAGCAGCTGATTTGAAGTTCAACATGGTATGTGGTAAGCATACTCTGATTAGGAGTGTTATCATTCAAAGTACCCTTTCCTTCCAAAAGTGGCTTTCATGGGAAAAATCTGTTCACTCCATTTGTGGGCAGGTGTCAAAAGTGTGATGCTCTTTCAACTGGCTTCATCCAGCACGATACCCTCCAAAATGAAGTGTGCTCCTTGCAGTCCCTGTTCTGGCTAGCTGTGCTTTAGGGCTTACCTGCCTGTTTTCTCCTTCCCTTGACTCCATGTTCAGAATACTTGGGCATAGCAGCTGTTCCTGCAATAGAGGGTGTGGAGGAGTGGCATGGGAAGAATACCAGGAAGGCTGTAAGAGAACCTATCTTCATGCTTGTTTTCTCTAAGTGAATAGGCCAAATGTTTTCTCGTCCAACTGCCAGTTGTCCAATAAGGCAATACCAAAGTAATGAGTCTGAATAGAACAAAATCATTTAAAAAAAATACTCAAAATGCAGGGTGCTAATATGGCAATGACTACTTCCCTAATGCACAACTCTTACAGCCTCAAGTTGAGGTGTTGCTGCCTTCTAAGGAGCTTATAATTCCTCCAAACCAAAGTCCATGTTTCTTCACCATCCCCTTCCCTCAACAGTGGAGGATTTCAACTCCATATGCTAACTTCCACTTACTAAAGACATGGACTTCTCATCTGAACCTCTTGTTAAAAAAAGAAAAAACAACCACTTCTGCATGGCTGGTTCAATTCTTAAAGAGTTTGCTCTGTCTCACTGCTACGAGAAGAAAAGGCATGAAAAGCAGGTTTGTCTGTAAGACTGTCAAGGAAGGGAAGCATGCTGCAGAACTGCACTTAATGTAAGGAAGCGTAAAACAGCTGTTTCTAAGTCTAACCAGCTGGATTCCCACACCCACCAGTAACTCACTGGTGCTCAGATTCATCAGCCATGTAAGGCTTACCACAGAGATTACTAGGAACTGTTCAGCAGTACAGTGGCATACGGAGAAAAGTCAGGTATTGATCAATGTCCAGCATCTATTCCCTTAAAAAAAATTCCAATTTTGTAGCTTGTATGTAAATATGACACCTTGTTAATTGCATCTTAAGAGCCAAGAGGTTACGTATAGATGTGGGGATGCAGGCTGGCTTTTGTGTTTTAATACTTGGTACTGGAGTGGCAGCCAGGTGCATTCCAAACACAAGCTTCCCTAACCTGGGTGCAGGTGAAGGCAAAACTTAACCAGGGGACCTAATTCTGATAATTTGTACAGGTGTAATGTCTGACACTGAGTTACTGTACCCAGATATGCCTGTATGAGGCTGGTACAGCAAGGTCAAGGACCAGGACTTACCTTCCTGCCCCCTCAAAGCTGGGGTTTCAGCTCTATCATTCTTTGTGTGAATTAGCAAGAAGAGAAAAAGGCCGAGCCAAGCTTTGCTGCAAGCCTAGTCCTGAGCAATAAAGGAAAAACCAGATTCTTTCAATGATGATAGGGCAGTTAGCCTGATGAAGTTAATCTTTGCTTTAATTGGTTGCCCAACATACATATTTAAACATTCTGTACTAAATTAGCCAGCATGCACACAGTAATTGGACCAGTCAGTGACTTTCTCCTTTCACTATATACATACACAAACAGGAACACCACGAGATTGGACAAAGGAAAGAAATTTGTTAACCCAATACAGCTAGCAAGTAACATTTTTTTCCTCTAGAAATGCTTTTCCTGCAAATTGACAAGTGTGAAGACTTTCTTTCAAGGCTTGAAGAACTTTGCAGTCTTCTATTGAAAAGGCTAACAATAGCCACTGTAGCTGAAATGAGACAAAATTTGTTTAAAATCCATTCCAAGCAAGAATGAAATTGAAAAAAAATTGCCTGCAATGTAGCATAGGGAAAAGGGACTTTGGAGACAATCCGAGCAGATCCACTAAGGTAGAAAGGTGGCTTTGGACCCGATTCTGACACCCTTAGCTTAGGAGAGAGAGAAGGATCCTCTCTCCTTAAAGAGAAGGAGGAGATCAGAATTGGGTCCAATGTTTCACATTCACTGATACCTGGTACCAGAAACTCAGTATCTAAAGAAATGAAGTGTTTGCTTACTTTATTTGAAGAACTTTAGTTCTGTGTCAACACAGTCATAGAAAAGATCCACTACTTCAGCATGATCCAGAATCTCTGTACGAGTAAGGATATCTTCCATTGCTTCCAAGCCTTGTTTCTCAAGGTCTAACATAATCCTCATCAGTTTCTGGCCTTTATCCTGAAGGCATGAAACAACCAAACTCAATTAACCAGCAAACAGGCTTGTTAAAGCATTTCAGCATTCTCTTCTGCTACAGAGATATCTTCAATTGATTTTAAAAAATGAGAAAGCCGTTTTAAAAACAAACTATTTCCATTAATAGTTTTTTTTGGATAGTCAAAGGCTAAAAGGAATAGTTCTGGAAAATTTATGCATTAAGAAATTAACCAAGAAGGAGCTGCTAAGTTTAAAGCACAGAAGGAAGATGGATAGAGGAAAATGGGGTAAGGTTTGCACACATGATAGAGAGGTAAAGCAACTTCTTAAGCCTGTAAACCCTTAAACTTGAGAAGACTAGAAGCCCCAAGGACTGTACAGATCATGGTATGTACGTGGGATTCCCTCAGACCATCACCTGCTAGGTGATGATCAGATCTGAAATGATAAGTAAGGTAACAGCATTAAGACCAGATCCACGAATGACTTTTTGTGCTATTCTGATTTACTGATCTTTGTGGGTTTGAGTGGGAAATTCACTCCCAAAGAAGGTATCATTTTGTTTTCCCCAGATATTATTTAAACTCTACTTCCCCCCATCCTTTTTTTTTTTTTTAAATGGAGAAGTGCTGCTTGTTTTGCTTGCAGCTTTCAAAATTGAATTCCTGAAAAAAAAAAAAAGTAATTTAGACTGAGTGATGGTTCTGAGCTTTCCAGGATTTACACCAGCATTTGCGCAGAAAGATTACAGCACCTAAGCTAAGGTTTAGATCTCAAGTAGGCAGATTTTATAGCATGCAGCTTGACTAAAAGCTAATGTTTCCTTTTCTACCACAATGTTTGGTGTCACACCATAAGACTTTAATAGGGAGGAGTGCACATGAGCTAACGTGCCTCTTCTGGGTCTTCCCTAAATCAGCATCTCACATAATGCTATGGGAGCCAGCTGCACATTGAGTCAATGCTACCACAGAGGCCACAGATTTTAAATAAAAACATTCCAAGGGATTAAAAACCACATCTAGCCAAAACTGTCTGTAAATTTGTACTAGCAAAGGTTACCATGGCTCCCTTATCCTAACGGATAAGTCTGAATGCTGTTCCTCATCTTGGCATGACTCTGACCCATGCAAATACATACAGACGAAAGCTGCAGAAAAGCAAGTCCTCTGTAGAAGTTTAACATGATCATGTGGGTCTTCCACAAATTGCCCAAAACACCAAAACCAGCATGCCCTGGTGATCTCTCCCTGTGTTTTCCTTCCTTATAACCAGTTACCCAGTTTACTGCTGTAGTTGTAAATATCAGAGAACAGTTGTTGAATGATTTGCACTATGACAGCAACAGCTGTATCTCAATCATCTGGAAAAGCTGTACAGAATAATCCCCTTCCTGCCTTTATTTATTCCAAAATTTACTCCTGTAAGAGATCTTCACCACTGTAGGTTTTTATGCTGGAAGGTTTTCAGCCCTCGGGCACCTGCTGCATGGCACTGGAAAGTGTAGTTTTTTTCTTGCATAGCATTTTCAGATAATTCTTATACATTGACAGAAACGCACTAAATTAAGACTTGCAAAACTGTCACAAGCAAATTATTCCCTCATGGGAAAAAAACCCACCTTGAACTATGTAGTTATTAATCCATCATATAATTTAAATTACAACATTCCTGCCATCATCCTATCACATATTCCTGCTACCGTGTTGTACTACCCCCATGTGCAATAATCTCTTAAAAATACAATATACACAACAGGGACTGAACAAGCTAATCAGCTTGTCAGTTTGCCTTTTCACTTCGTAAAAGTAATGGAGCAGAGCAACACAGCCTGGACAACCACAAAACCTACGCAGAATAGCTTGCCCTTCAGAGAGCATCATTATTCAAGCTAGACTTGCAACAACTCTAAGAATATTCAGGGGATGTTTTTCAGCAAGTGACTCTGAAGTAAATTATGGAGTTAGGAAGCTGCCTTTACTTGATTAATTCCAGGTCCCACAGCTCTTACCTGGTCATTCTCGAGGAGGGATCGGGCCCATTCATGCGCCTTGTACAATTCATGCCTGCGGTCTGGTTTCTCCTGGAACCGAGGTATCTTTTTAGCAGGATCATCATTGCCAAAAGAAGGAGACTGTACTTTTGGTACTGATTTTACATCATCAACAAAAATAAAAGGTTTAAATATGGACCTGAAAGAAATGAGAATTACTGCTTTCAGTAATAAGAGAGATTTTTATGTGTGTTATTCAAACGTTCACTAGGCTATTTTAAAACAACAGATGCAGAACAGCACAGGCAATTCATCTGCACTAGGCATGGACGAGGTCAGAGACTTGTACCGGTCACTAGCAAAACAAACCTATGTGCTTTAAAAGAACTGGGTTTGCCAATGACTAAAATTTTATTACCCCTTTTTACCTATAGGCTTCTTTGGTATCCATCATGCCAGTTCTGCCACTTCTTTAAAAAAGTAGCACTGTATTTTCCTCTCTGAGTTTTGGGGTTTATTTTAAACAAATCTCAGCATTCAGCCTCACGTCAGTTTTTCTCCTCTGTTCACACTGCCATCACTCCTCCTCCTCCCAGGTTTAATCTTCTTTAAAATCACAAACATTTGTGTGGAGCAAGGAGGATTATTTAACTTGCTCAGTATCAGAGGATTTGGCATATAACCAGCGGCGCTTTTGAGTTTTATGTCAAGGGGGAGAAAAAAAGAAAAGACATAGCTACCAACATTGTGACCTTTCTCAAACAACTTCAGCACTGAGTTTGGATCTAACCCCCAGAGAGGCAGACAGAAAACAAGCCCCAGCAAGTCCAGGATCTTAACTCCTGAGAACCTGAGTAGGTATTGGCAAGTGCATGCAGAAAATGCCTTCTTCAGATACACAACACAACAGCATCCTGCATTCTGCAGTATAGAAGCTGCCAGAAGTGCAAGAATTCTGCAAAACAGGATTAATAACCACTGCCTGCATACAATCAGCAGGTTCACTGCTGCTACCATCCCCACTACTGTCACAAAGCCTTGCAGACTAAGTTTGTAACTCACTAGCTGCACTTAAAAGAATGATTTTTTAATTCATTAGAGTGTAAAAAAAAGCAAGAAAGGCCCTTAAAAAAGTTGTTTTGGTGTTTTGGTTTTTTTTTTCCTTGTTACAGCTAGACTTTCCATCTTTAAATAATGACAAAAATCCCACCAAAATCAAAGCCTTGGTCGTTATTATCTCAAAAGATTTGCATCAAGTCAAAGCAAAGTTTTGGTCAGCAAGCTCAAACTTCACACTTAACCCTGAAGGTTTGAGCTGCATAACACAAGGTGAGTAGAAAGACTTTTTGGCAAGGATGACTTCTGTAGCTCTTGGTAGCACCTAATGCTTACTACCACTCTTCTTACAGGAATGACTGTCAGCTGTTCAAGGGCACCATATTCTTCTCCCCATAACCTCTTTACCTCAATGCAAGTGGCAGATCTCCTGAATAACTGCAAGTGGTTTAGTTTAATTTCTGTGAATCCCAGGTGGATTCTGTTTAAAACACAAGATAATTCATTAGTTCTTTGATGATCTTCTCTAGTTGAAAGCAGCAGAGGAGATGAGGGAAGACACAATTTTAACAAACTGGAAACTGTCCTTCCAATAAGAAACATACTTGGGATACCTGGGAGTTGCAGATGTTTTACTCCATTAACATTTTGATGTCATATAAGGTTACCTATAGTACACATCCTCTCTCTGCTATTAGCCACTTTGTTTCCATTTTGCACCCATCTGTTCAAGAGACCTAACTGAAATGGTTCATAACCTCATCAGCTCAACAAGAACCCACTGGAAAGCAGCTGTCCTGGAGTAGTAGCTCCGGGGTCCTCCCTAAACTTCGTTTACTCTAGAAACTGAATTCAGGCAAAGTTCCAGATCTGGCCTTTCAACCCAGTGGTGTCCATTTAGAATGGCAGCAAGATACAGTTCAGTAACACCAGACTGCCAGATTGCACACAAACAACTACTGACTGCATTTCTGGTTAGAACACACTCTTGAAGAAATGTTCCAGTTAGGGCAGCATGGTTTGTTTAATATCTTTCAACCCATCCTCTGCTCCATACCCAGGGAACCCCAAAGCTGTGGCTTACCTTGAAGGGTCTGGCGTGCCTGTGAAGTAATGAACACAGGGAAAACTAGGGTCCTGAGGCAGAACAGACACTATGCTAGCTGTAGTAAGGAAAGATTCAGAGTCCACACAGACACCACTATCCTTGTCACGCAGTACATCAATCATGGCTTGTGCAGAAACATCACCTATAAGGAGGGAGGAAAAAAAAAAAATTAATAACTCCTAAGTGTTTAGTGGATTGGACCCCAAGTAATAATTTTAGCCTGAACAGGCTTGGGCCTAATATGGCCAGTAACACTTGGCATACAAACTATTAACTGGGATTTGTGGCGTGCCTATTTAAACAATGTAAACTTGCCTAGCTAGTAAAAGAGAACAGTAAGAAGCATTAATTCAGCATTACAATTGCTAGATAGGGAGAATTGTCATTAAAAAAGGTGTTTTTAAGGAAGAAGGCCACCATGCCTTTAATACTGCTTTAACAATCACTGTGAAGAGGCAACTTACACAATACACCCATTTTCCTCTACCCAAGCCCGGGCAGAATGGGAGCACCCTGATCTCCCACTTCTCATCTGTTTTCATTAGCTCTCAGCCCAAATTTTGAAACATCATCTCACATTCACAGGGTGCTACAGCAGCAGACCTAGACACTGAGATTTTTCTCCATATCCCTATTTACAGGGATCCCCTGTTCTCATTCTGTTTCCTGCCTGAGTCTCATCACAGCTTTCTCCCCATGGCATCTCTACATTTTGTCACATTACCCCTTCGTCTGGCAGGTCTCCTTCCCCAGCAGCTTCTCAAACCCTGTGCTGACTCGCCATTCCATGCGCGGGTGCCTCAGTACGCCAGGAGACATGGATGAACCCAGCAGCCTCAAAGATTTGCAGCCATAGCCATCATCTGTAGAGGCCCTCAGGCTTTTTAGTGCCTAAGCAAACCTCCCAAGAAGCAGACTCCATTGAGCTCAAACTTTCATATGTGAGGCCTTTTTCTTTTTTTAATACTATTTTTGTATTAAAAAAAGAAAATATACACCAAAGTACAAATGCAGTGGCACACCACACACACCAGAACAACAGGGAAGAAAGTTACTTTTATAATTGCAATCCGGTTTTAAAACTTTACACTGGAGGGGGAACATTAAGGGCTTCATCCTAAATCATGGCAAGTTTAGGGACAGTCTTCAGTTGGGGTCCTCCTTTCCACATGGTCTATATGTCAAGGTGTTCTCCTCAGTCACATCTAGTTCTGGACAGAATGCCTGAATGGAGGTAGCAGTGATTAAAAATCCCAGTGCCCACACAGGAAGATGGTTCAACACTTACCACCTTGCTTTTCGAGGCTCTCCCTGACAGAACAACAGGCTAAATGGTCATCAGCAAGAGAGAACACTTCAGAAAAATTGAAGTCTGAATCTCCATTCCACCAGCCTTGACTTCTCACATAACTCCTTAGTTCAGGATGCTCGGCATCAATTTTTGTGGTTAATGAAAGCTGATTGCAAATGCACTTCACCCCCTCTGCAGCAAAAGGCACAGATTAAAAGAGAGCATTAACACAGCTTTTCTGGGCGAGGCTGGAAGGACAAAGTAATTTCAGTTATGAAACACATGAAGCCCCTGGTGAGGGCGCACACGTGGCACACAGCCAGCTCCCAGCGACTGCAGGCTGCAGAGCTCAGTTCTGCGCGCCCCGCGCCGGGGTCTGCGCCGCCTCAGGCCTCGCTGCGCCA